TGAGAGAATGAAAAGATGAAAATAAAGTGTTTGTAGATGGGGAGGGGAGGAGGGGGTGAAGGGAGGGCAGAGGTAAGGGGAAAAAAATGAGAATCAAGACTTGCCATGTAAAGGTACATGATCCCAACAATGAATGTAACTGTACTGTATCCCTAAATGTACCAATAAACTCAATAAAAAAAAATAAATAAATAAATAAAAAATGAGTACATGTTTGTAGTACATGTATTTTACAGTCATCGTGCGGGTGGGTACATGTACATTTCTTTTAGTCCTCTTCCCTTCTCCCGCTCCTCCTCCTGCTCTAACTCAACACCAGGAGACAGGCAACAGGTGGTGGGGTACGGTATTTCCAGCAGGTGGACACTATTGTCTCGGCCCCTTACTGGGTTACATTTTCTGATGAAAAAACACATTTTTGGGGTGTGGTACTGGGGACTGCACCCAGATATTCAGACATGCTAAGCAAGCACTCCACCACTGAGCTCTCTCCTTAACCCCTCTGATGAAATCACACTCATAGGATGAAGTCGCGGTATTTGAATTTGGGGGTGAAGATGGCAGGTTGCACAGTAACAGACTGAGTTGCTGCTAAACCTATTGCAACTGTAGTTGCTCTTACAAGTGTCTCCACTCAGGTTGTGTAGACACGGAAGAGAATTTCCCACCTGGCAGGTAGGCAGTGTGTGGTAAATATCCGAAAGACTTTATAATGGTCTGCACACTGAAGAATCGGAGTGAGTGTTCTCCCATCACCTGTACACCTTGAGTGAGGTATTTGTGCTTGTGTTAGCACTGCCACTGTAAAAGAAGCCATGTCTTTAGTGTTTGGGGAAAAAGTCTTGAGGTTACCAATGGTCTCAAGTGTTGTGCAGTGAAAGAAAATTAAATAACAAAATTATAATCTGTATTTTTACTCTGTATTCATGGAGACTCACTTATCATTTTCTCTGTATGATAGCTGACAGGAATGTCAAGAAAATGAAGACAGGAAAGAAGAGACAGTAAAGAATTCTCTCACAGGATTCACAGCAATCACACTGATCTTTCAGTGTTTCTGAATATCTGCAGATAACCAGTGATCAAGCAGATGCAGATGAAGTCCAATTATCCCAACTGATCATGAAACCTAGTGACTCTCCATTTGTCCCTTTTCGTAAGTACAAGCCTTGATTAAATTCTGGGAAACTGTATGGACACCATAATGCCTTACCCATTATGTTTGAGGTTTGAAAGGCTGTTTCTTTGAACATCTATATCCATCAGGCCACAAGTTGTTGATTATATCCTGCCACTCCTACTCTCCTTGTTTCAGAACGAAAATGTGGAGGGGAGATTCCTCTTGGAAACCACATCTCTGCTGGTGAACCGGTGGACGGGACGGTGAGGACACCACTGCTGATTCTGAATGCAACCTCCTGGCCCTCAGCAGAGATGTCCTGCTGCCCCAGGTCATGAGACAGAGGTGGTAACTATTAAAATGAAGAGGACTCAAGAGTCTTGGTCTTCAAAAACATCTATTTAGAGTTTCACCTGTCTTCTGCCATCACATGATTCTGCAGTTATGCAAATTTAAAGGTGCTCCCAGTTCAGCGCAAGGTTCATGATTTAAGGTCAATGTTCAAGACTACTGGAGCATGAAACAAGACTTCTGGCACTGCTTAGAAATGAGAGATGGAAGGAACTCTTCCCTTCCCCCAAGCTCTTTATAGTAGTTACAAATGGGACTTGGGGTGGGTGTTGGTAGAACAGGGCACGGGTACTGGGTAACAGGAAGGAATTATTTTTCCCTTTTACCCCATTGCTCACCTGGCAAACACACAGAAGACTGGCAGCTGAGAGAACCCAATGGAAATACACAAAACTCAAAAATGGTACTTTAGAGTTCCGGGAATACTGATTTTATAAAAGACTGTAACGAGGGCCAGGGTTCCAGCACCTGCTTTGTAAGCACAGGGACCCAAGTTCGATCCCTGGTTCCCCACCCCCCAAAGACGTTAAGTTATTGAAGTATATGCCCCAACCACAGTGAAGGAAGAGTTTGCAAAATGAACTATGGCACTGTGTTTTGCATTAATCCCCACAGCTGCCCATGGCCTCCTTCAAGCCCTGATCTGCAACCTACGTCTGGTTGGCAGTATTTCAAGAATGGCAGCCTCACCTATTTCCTGTTTGTTCCTCTTCTGGAGATCTGCTCTCAGTTTTCAAAGTTCATTATCAAATTACAGAAACCAAATGTAATTACATTCTGATTTTGGCCAGGGTTAAGAGTTTGAAGCTATTACATAAAATTAGGTCCACCTTGAAAAGCAAACAAAACAAACAGCTGAGTGTTCTGGTGCACACCTGTAATTCCAGGTACTCTGGAGGCTCAGGTAGGATTTTGGCAAATTTGAGGCAAGCCTAGGTAACGTAGAGAGGCCCTGTCTCAAAATAAAAAGAGCTGCAGTCTACAGCTCAGTGGCAGAGTGCTTGCCTAGTGTGCAATACATAAGGCCCTGTTTCAGACCCTAGTCCCACCAAAGAATACAAATAAAACCCCCCTAGCAATATTGGCTGAGAGGAAGCACTCAGCCAGAATTGGTTGGTGAAGGAAGGTGTGTTTGTGGAACCATGGCGCTCTCGTGTGATTGTCCTTCTGGCTGAGAATGAAATTCACCTGGGGACCGGGGATTTAGCTCAGTGGTTCCACCACCTGCCTTGCAAGCTCAGGACCCGAGTTTGATCCCTGGTACCAAAAAAAAAGAAAAATTATCTGGAGTGCTTTGATAGGGCTGACCTCTTCTTTCTTATTTATTTCCTGCTCTTCCACAGTTGGGCAGATGCCTGCTACTAAATATGTATAGTAAATAAATATGAATGGTATTCAAAGTAAAAAAAGGAATTTAATCTGTCACGTGGAACTTTCTTAGTGATGACCAATATATTTTCAGTTGCATTTCTTATATATGAATGTGAGTATATAATGTCTGTACTTCCTTTAAATAAAAGCTAGCAAGCTTGCTAAGGGGATTTTTAAAGATTTCAGTGCCATCTCACACTTCTAAAACTATTCATATATAATCATATGGATCTTTCTAACAAGAAAGTACATAGTTTTTGCATGAAATGTGATTTTTTAAAAATGTGCTTTGGATATCTGCTCTCTAAAAATGTATAGAGAAGTGATTTTGAGGGCCTGAGATATTTCCCCCACAGAAGGGACAGGGTTTACTCCAACAAGTCTGTACAATTCCGCAGGAGCTTGTCAACAGCTCTGCAAATCTGAAGTGAAATATCTTTATCTCAGAAATCTACATAGTTTTGGAACAGTTTCTAAAATAAAACATAGTAACCTCCTTTAAACATATGAGGCGGGCTTTCAGAGTAGTTTCTAATAAACGACGTTACCTATCATTTGTTAATGCATTAAATTTTAATTCTGTTTCATGCATTTCATTAGACATCTACCTAAAATTCTTAGGTCCCGTCAATCAAATGGAACCCATTGAATGGACTTACGCTCGTCTGTCATAACTCAGTGTTAGCAACAGCAGCACAGCTTATTTTTAGGTCTATGAAGGGCAGAGAGTCTGCGAAGGGTTGCTCAAATGTATGTCTCTTTGTAACGCTGACCTTTACGGTCTTGTGTCTGCTGTTTGTGGAGTTTTCTGTTTCTTCTGTTACTATTGAGAACCATTAAAAAACTTCTGCTTCTAATGTTCTGTGGCACCAAAGTGAGATGCTCAGAATTGAAAGAACTCTGAGTCAACTCAGAGTAAAGCTCTGATGGGAAGCCTGGGCTTCTTTGTATAGTTTTTGCTGTCTTTCTATGTGTACCAGATATTGAGGATGATTGTTAAGTAAATTCTGAATTACAGAAGTGGCATTTTGATTGGATCTGGTATCTTAGCTTCTTTCTCCTCTCCTCACACATATTTGATTTATATTTACATTTTCAAGAAGTATGATATGCAAGTGAACTTTAAAAAAAAAAATCTAGATGTCTGGGCATGGTGATGCTACCAGTAATCCCAGCACTCAGGAAGCTGAGGCAGGAGGATCGCTGTAAGTTCGTAGCCTGCCCTGAGATCAAGGCCCCCCATACTGCATAGTGAGGCTGTCTCAAAAACAAAAAAAATCTAGCTGGATTGGGGATGTATCTTACAGGTAGAGTGCTTACCTAGCATGCATGAGTCCCTGGGTTCAATCTCCAGCATTAAAAAAAATAAGTATCAATATTATCTTTTTTTTCCCCAGTACTGGAGATCAAGCTCAGGAGCTAGTGCTTGAGAGTCAGGCAGTGGCACCACTGAGCCAAGTCCCCAGCCTGCTATATACATATACATATA